TTTCCTCCTCACAGTGCATTAAGACAATATAGGTCTTAATGCACTGTGAGGATGAAAGATTGAGTGGCCAAAGACTCTCCAAGGATCACAGATGGAGAATTGCAGCGATTAGTTGAGTCTTGGAGTCAGAAAGTCTATTAAAAAAATGTAAACAACCCCCACATCACCACATGTTGTTTGGTAGTGTTTATATTTAAACCCTTATATATATATATATATATATATATATATATATATATATATATATATATATATATATATATATATATATATATATATATATATATATATATATATATATATATATATATATATATATATATATATATATATATATATATATATAGGGTATAAAACTAGAATGCCAACCGTTTAAACAACTATTCTGACCAAAATAATATTAGATTGGTCAGATGACCTGAATTTTTTGGGAGTTAATTTAGCTGTCACTTCCGTAAATAACTGAACTCTGTGTGTAGAGAATGAGATTAAGGACTAGAAGAAGGGTGACAACTGTACTTAGCTGTAGTGTGTACGTGTGTATCTGCGTGTTAATTGATCCCAGCACTAAGACCAGTCAAAAAACCTCTTTAGTTTGTAAGCACGGCTGATTCCCTTTAATCGGTTTAGGCTGCAGACTAATGTCTGAGGGAACCGCTGTTTTAAAGTCTGATCTGATGGTTTGTCCAGGAGGGGATTACATGATTTCATCATTCTGCACCATTTTAAAAAAAATGCGCAAGTAGTAGTTGTAGCATCAAAGCCGACGATCACAGGTAACGTCAAACTAGAGTTGTTTGTTTTGCACAATTGTGATGGACCACAATTATTCATAATCGTTTGCTGTGGGTTCAGATAAACCCATAAAGAAAACTGTCGTAGAGGTGAACACGGCAACTCCCATGATTCCACACTCCATCACGGTCTCATCAAGCTACATCTTTGTTATTGTTTTGAATAAGCGACCACTAGCGGTGAAACTTACATACTGTGCCTTTAACACGATAGTCCACATGAACTAAGAGAAACTATGTTATATACTAGTTAATTTTTAATATTATGTTTTATAAATTCACATTAGTACATTCACCCACATTAATAATGCTGTAAAACTGATCATTGTAAGGAGATGTCTAATGTTAATGAAGGAATATTGTAAAATGTTACCCACCATTTTATTAACAGCATTTATGCCCAGGACAGATAGAAAGCATCGCACATCAACCGCCCACATAGCTACCGGTTTCACTCTTGTGATTTGATTGTCCTCTGATTTATCATCACTGTTAAAGTAATGTTTCCAATAAGCTGCTTATGATGAGAATGGAAGTGTGTGAACTATTTTGCATGTTCTTACATTCGAGAAATGGAATGAAAATTAAAAAATTAAGGAATGCACAATTTTGTGTTATTAAAGTAGTACCTTGTTCCCGCTGTTCTGAGTCTAGCCTGTTTTTGTTCTTGTTTTGTACAGCTTTCTCACACTGTGTTTGCTTGGCTGAATGATTATGTTTTTGACTGGCAGCACATGCATATATAGATCATAATTAAGATTACAGGGTCAACTTAAACTAGTGGCCTGTAACAGTTGTATGGAGAGGGATAGTTCACCCATTTACTTATGTTTTCCATGGAGCACGAAGGGAGATCTTTTTTTTTTAAGAATATTCACACCGCTCTTTTCCATACGGCAAAAGTGTGTCAAGCTCCAAAAAGAACAAAATGATCAGTGCAACTTGTACACTATATTCTCAGTCTTCTGAGGTCATACGACAGCTTTGTGTGAGCAAAAAACTTCCCCTCCCTCTATAGAAGTTAAATCTCTTTCACGTTTTCACATTCAAAGTTAACAAGGGTCAATAGCTGGATCAGTGACTACAAACACAGATCATGGCCAAGAATTTTTGGAAGCACAAATCTTCAGCTGCAATAGAGAGCAAGATGTTTATTGAATGACTTGAATTTGGGTCTGTTTTTCTCACAAAGTTATCAGATGCCTTTTTGAAAACTGGGAATATGGGACTTTTATGTTATGTGTACTGCAGAACCTGATTTCACCAAGTTTAACATATCAAGTTTAGGCTTACAGCCAGGGTTAGGTGCTTCTACTTAAACCTATTATTTCCCTCAGAATTTAGGAATAAGTTAGGTGTAGGGTTAGGTTTAAGGGTAGGGATAGGACTACATTTTCGGACAGGAATGTTGTTCCATTATCAACAAAATATGTTGATCCAGGAACACGTCTAATTCTGCAAAATCAGGATGTGCGTTAATTACTAGTAGTCAAAGGTCAATATTTGGCATTTTTCAAAATTTTTGCATTGGATAAAGTGTTTTTCTGATTGCTCGATAAGTGTTAGACTTTTATTATGACAGTACTAGGACTTTTATTTTGACAGCGACCATTCGGGAGCCTCCATTCTCTGTCTTCATTAGTTTAATGTCTTTGTCGAACAGTTCTGTCTAATAGCAACTTTATCCTTGATTTCAAACTGTGCTGCACTATATCCAGTTGGCCAGTATGCCATATTAATTTCATATTCACTGTGCATTGTATGTAAAATTAGCATTACTGGTCTTTTATTTGAGAAAATATGATTACCAGTGCGCACAGACTTACTAAGTGTACGTTACTATTGGTTACAGTGTTGACTTCCCTTTTAGTCTTGTTTTTAACAGTTTCTTTATTTGTTTTGCATGTTTATTTTTTCATATTGATTCATTTTCAAATTATTTTTATTTAATGAATATTGATTAAAATACATATACATTTCAGTTGCACTTTATTTTACAGTAGGTGCACTTACATGTACTTACAGTGAACTTACCACTGGGTAATGGTGCGTTCAAGTCCTCCTGGGGAAGTTCGTACGTACGAGGTGGGAAGTCGTGTTTACGACGGCAGTGCGTTCAAGTCACTTTCGTCGGAGGAAGATGGCGGAGTACTTTCTCTTAATTAATTACACAAAAACACAGTAAGGTTCTTAAACTCTTGTTCTAGAAAATGAAGAACAAAGAAATGTGCACTGGATGTACTTTGTTTTTTTATGTTTTTAATTAATTTATGAAGCCACTGCCAACTTTATCGTTACATGTTGCACTGTTATACTATAATGCCATCATATTCTGTGCAGGAAATTCGCTTAACTGTGCTGTAAATAAGAAAACATTGACAATATCACTGCATAATATTTAAGTATTGTGGTATTCCGCCATGTTTCTCAGTGACACGCCCACAACTCGGAAAGATCGGGGCTTAGAGAAAATCCCGAACTCCCCACTGGTATTTATGACATTGTGGTGGCGTTCAAGTGCGTTCAACTCGTAAATACGATCTATACGAGATGACTTGAACGCACCATAATATAAGGTAACTACATGGGTAAAGGGTAGGTTTAGGAGTAGGTTCAGGATTAGTACATAGTTACTCAGTTATTGTAGTTACTATAGCAAGTATGTACATGGGTGCTACCTAAATTTAATTGAAAGCTCTCAAAGATAGTGGGATCAGCCATCAAAAAAATCCATTGTTCAACCAGTAGTACTTTCCCGCTTTTTAGAGCTTGACAGCCCTGACCACTTTCTGCTTTTGTTAAGGTCAGGGTTATGGAAAAGAGCAGCATGAACACTCGGCTAAACATCTCCTTTTGTTTTCCATGGAAGGAAAACGGCTTTGGGACATGATGAAGATGAATGAATGATGACCTACTTTAATTTTTGGGCGAACTGGTCATCATTAATCTCTCCAGGAGTAAACAACAGACATGCTTTTCTGAGCCCAATGCTTGTACTCTTCAGCGAAAGCTCTTCAATCATGTGTATGTGGTGTAAACAAACGACCGGGGATCCGATGTGTGTTGTTACACTATACTTGACGGTTTAACAGTCAGTCAAAGTGTTCAAGCACGCGCAAACACTAAATCCGCTTTGTACCATGCTTAGAGACGTTCTATACCACCTAACTTTAGGCTGGCGTGCCGAGATGGGCGGAGGTCAGGCCGGCTCGCTGTTGTCTTCCATTGCTGTGTGTTCTTTTCGAAGGTCTTCTCTGTGCTCTGCTCACTGTCTGTTCCTTTCTTCACAATGCATTGCATATTCAGAAGCAGCAGCATGTAGGTATATTAAAACAACTTCCACCAGCTGCATGGCCTCTCTTTTTTTTTTTTTTTTCTTCTTCCTGTTTTCTTTACTCTTCTGCAATAAGTTTCACAACATTCTGACAGTCATCCTGCAGGAGAAGCACTTTAAAACCTTTTTTTTTTTTAAGACAAATGAAACTGATTTCTGATTTACAGTCAAGATTTCTTTTGGTTTTGTTTTAAAGGAACACTTCACTCAAATGTAAATCCTGTCAGTATTTACTGACATTCGTGTCATTCCCAACCAAACCCATATGCTGTTATTTTTCTCTGCGGAACACACACACACTCGCACAAAAGAATCTTTTCCATAAAACAGTAGTTCAAAGTGACCATGCCTGTCAAATTTCCCCCAAAAACCACCATTAAAAGCGCAATAGTCTTCTGAAGTCATATGATAGCTTTCCACAGAAAAAAACAACAGCATATGGTGAGTAAATAATGACAGAATTTTCATTTTGCGATGAAATATTCCTTTCCTATACACTGAAATGTTCAAACCCTGTTTTGAAATGCTTTGTATTTTTGCTCATCCGAGTGTCTTTGTTTGAACTCCACCCTTTCATTCTGTCGTTCATGTCTCGGTCTCAGTGTTTCATGTCTTTTGACCGTGTCATTGTCCCCATGTTTGCCCATCTGTGGTGTGTGTCTTCAGTGCGATGGCATGGTTATAATGCACGTTGGGACTTATCTTGCTTCTCTTCCTCTATCTATCTTTCTATCTTTCTTGCCTACTCCACCCTAACTCGATCAGTCTCTTTAACCTTACTACGTTTTTTTTCTCTCACTTGAATCACATGATTATGAGTCCGTTTCCTGTTGTTCTCTCTCTTAACGGACGTCTGTCCCTCTTCTCTGCAGGGGACGTGCTTTTCCAGATGGCAGAGGTCCACCGGCAGATTCAAGTGCAATTAGAGGAAATGGTGTGTACCCTTCTCGCACACAGTCCATTTCTCCTCTTTATTAAAGGATTATTTAGCATAGATTACATTACAACAGTTTTTGACATGTTCGCAGGTTCAATACAAGTTTAAACGGCTAACTTTAGCTGTAAGGCAAACTCCACCCATAGGAATTGCATCAAAAGGAGGATTTACAAGTTTGCAGTTGAAATAAAGATGTTTTCACTGAATAATTAATGTAACCACTTAATCAAAATCAATGTTTCTACTGTAAAATCCTTTACTTCAGTTGCAGCGGTTACTGTAACCACAGCAGGTAACACTTTGTTTTAAGGTGACTTGTTACATGTAATTGCTGTATTAATAATGGTGAATGATGCATAAAGGGCATGTTTACACGACGATGATGTACTAAAAATGGAAATGTTTGGTAACACTTTACTTGAAGGGGTGTGCATAAGACTGACATGACACCTTCATAACCATGACATGACATATGTCATGAATATGAAGTAGGGTTTATGCATGTATGACAACTGTCATTAAGTGTCTTTCGCTCAATAATGACATTTTGAATGCAAATATGACATTAAGATGTCTTTATGACATCTTGACATCAACCCTAACATCATAACCTGTCAGTGTCTTTGTCATGACAACTTGACATTAAATTAAGTTAAACTGTCATGTGGTTGGTTTCGACATTGGCTGCCGTGAGGCCATTATAACTGTGTCATGAATATTTTTCGTGACCTCAACTACAGTGGTACACATTCAATTTGTCATTAAAAAGTTATAATGGCTTCATGACAGCCAATGTCAAAACCAACCACCTGACAGTTTAATGTAATGTTAACCAATAAAGCTAAGTGTTTTCTTAAGTTTGATAATTAATCTGCTAGGTCATGTTTATGACAGGTTGTGTTGTCTTAGTAATGTCAAGTTGTCATGACAAAGACACTGACAGGTTATGATTTATTTGTTTATGTCAAGGTGTCATAACACATCTCAAACAATGTCATATTTGCATTAAAAATGTCATAATTGAGCGAATGACACTTAATGACAGTTGTCATAAACATGCATAAAACATGTGTCATGTCATGAATTATGAAGGTGTCATATTAGTCTTATGCACACCCATTCAAGTAAAGTGTTACCAAAAGTTTTTCCTTTTGCATTTTTCACGTACAGATGCAATGTTGTAAAACAAACCCCGTTCACACAGATCCTTGAAGACCAATAAAAAAACGCTGTATAATTCTTCCAGGCCAGTAGTTGGCGATGTCACTTTGTAAAGAAACACTACGCACCTATAGACTGAACACGTAATAAACATGCGCATGATTTCACCGTTTTCACAGATTCATGTTTTTGTAGTTTACACTGGGACGATAACGGTATCGTTTTCATAAACTTGCACTTTGAAACCCTTTTAAAAAAGTTGAACCCCAAAACACTGTTGTCGTGTAAATGAACGGCCAAAACGCATAAAACATTTTCTGTTTTTAGCTGAAAATGGTGTCGTGTAAACGGCCCCTATGTCTACATGTATGGTAATATTACTTGGTGCTAATGTATAATTGCACTGTAACAAGGACACCTTAAAATAAAGTGTAACTTTTAAAGTTTTTTCATTTTCTTTTAAAAAAAAAAACTTAGGAATGAATGTGCTCATCAACATTATTCTAAAAATGTGGTCGATGGTGTATTTGAACCTTTATATCATGGTATAATCTGCACAAATCTGTGCTTTCAGGTTAATAAAAAGTCAATTCAACGAACTTCACTCAGTTTTTCTGCTTTTTTTTGCAGTTGAAATGCTTCCACAACGAGCTGCTGTCAGAGCTGGAGAAGAAGGTGGAGTTGGACGCGAGATACCTGACTGTGAGTCCGCACCTCATCCTACTCCTTACACTCCTTACGAGACGCACATTGAGCTCACTAACACTGAACAGAAGTGCTTCTCCTCTACTTTAGTAATACACATTCCCCTGTTGGGCACTGATTGGCACAACCAACACACACACTCCGCACACACACACTTTTCACAATCCATTTAGTGTCTGATTAATAAAAAACAATTTACGGGTTTTTTTCCGCCTCGTTTCAGTTGGAAATGCATCAGATTATGGAAGTAAAATGGATTGAAAATGGCGTTTTAGGTTGACTTTAAAGGTATAAAGACTATTGGGATGCTTCAGTATGTCCACACATGGCATCCAGGTACCATTTCAGACATATACAGTACTACCATTCAACGTTTTCCTCAGTTCGGGTTGGTGAGATGTTTTAATGTTTTTGATAGAAGTCTCTTTTGCTTGTCATGTATGGAAAAAAACTGTAATTAATACTTGCGTATTAATTCCTTTTCTTTTTTTTTGTGAATCTTACTGATGCCAAACTTTTGAATGGTAGTTAAATAGGGTTATTTTGCATTTTTGAGTCAAATTTTGCCTTGCCTCTTGGCTGTCTAATGAAACATGGAGCCAAAAATATGTAAAAAATCTGGATGACTTTGCCGCCACTGTTTTTGCTGTTTTGATTATATACTCTACATTTTGGCAAATGTAGAAGGTAATTTGCAAACAGTTTATATTCACGGAGTGTCTATTTACACTAAGTGCAAACAGCCCGCCTTGTTGACAGAGGCTATTTACACTAACTCCGCCCACTGACGTCTGGTGGGCCAGACAAAATTACAGAGGACGCTGAATTGTCAACCGTAGCAATAGTGTAGGGGTAAGATGCGTGGCAGAAAGTTTTGACGCAAATTGACCCAAGTTCGAATCCGCCTTTTGCCGAACTCGCTCTACTCCCTTTTCCCATCACATATCAGATCAGAAAGGCATTTATTTTCAATAAAAATGAAGAATATATTCGAAAAGTGGAAATAAATTGTCTAACGTGTGTTTAATAATAAAGTGTTTATCGGTTAGGGTTAGGAGGTATTAGGGGTTGTCCCAATAAACCAGCATCCATTTAATAATTTTAATAAATATAATCATTTACATTGTTATTATTGCATACCTTTTAATGTACAACAACAGTGAGGTGCAAATAGTATCTGCTACTATTTATAAATATAAATAGCATCTAACTACTATTTACACTTATTGCAAAGAAAATACTGATATTTTTACATCGTGTAAATAAATAACCGCTGCCTTATATTTCTGCATTTTGCAGATTCTTGTATCCAAAGCAACTTAGTAAACAGTAATCAGTAAATCTGTTTCATTTCATTCAAACACACAACCATGGCATTGCAAGTGCCATACACTCTTAATAGTAAAGGTTCTTTATTGGCATTGATGGTTCCATGAAGAACCTTTAACATCTATGGAATCTTTTCATTCCACAAAAAGGTTCTTTATAGTGGAAAAAGGTTCTTTAGGTTATTAAAATGTTCTTCACCTATTTTTAAGAGTGGACTCTACCAGTTAAGCTACAGGAATAATGCATGCAGAAAATATGTACACTACACAGCATATATATATACTGTTCTTAGTATGTAGTATGCCATTCCAAACATACCCAAAGATCTTGAAGATCTACATCTTCAGACATTGGTCTTGCTTTTTCTTTTTTAGCAATGGCCCTGTTTTCCTGTCATTACTGTTTCCACTATTTTAAACAAATGAAAGTACACAATTTGCGGGACATTAAAGTATGTTTGGAGCAGTGCTGAGAGAGATATCTTTAGAGCGTGAGTGGGTTGGAGAGGAGCTGTGTAGAGCAGTTCATTGGGGGGGGGGGGGGGACTACTTGTCATCACATTGTATTCAGATAAAATTAATGCCTTGCTGTCTTGCCTTAGTTCTGGAGAGAGCGGTCTGCAGTCGTTCCCCTTGGAAACCAAACAATTTTTTTCTTTTTCCAACATGTTGAGTTTCTGCTTTGGAGTCTCTATTTAAGTCTGTAAGATTATTATGATATTCATTTTGTGGTGCTGCTGCTGTAAGAACACAGTTTTATAAAGATTTACTGTGACATAATGTATAAATATGTGTCAAAGGTTCCAAATGCTGTTCTGTTCTGCCCACAACAAATCAAAGATGAGTGCTATTAACTATTAAATGGTTAGTTCACCCAAAAATAAAACAATTATCCCATAATTTACTCACCTTCAAGCCTTCCTAGGTGTCTATGACTTTTTTTCTTTCAGCCAAACACAATCCGAGTTATATTAAAAAATATCCTGGCTCTTCCAAACTTTATAATGGGAGTGAATAGTAACCGAGATTTTGAAGCCCAACAAAGCGAATCATCCATCATAAAAGTAATCCATATGGCTCCAGGGGGTTAATAAAGGCCTTCTGAAGCGAAGCAATGCGTTTTTGTCAGAAAAAATATCCATAATTGTAACTTTATAAACTAGAATCACACTCAAAAAATACTCTTTAAACTTACTTAATTTAATTATGGACAGTGGTTCCACACAAGCAAATTGCGTTTTATTAACATTAATGGGATTTTTTTTAATCTATGTAAGCTCCTTGTGTTGTGACAACACAACTGAATGAGTCCAAACGAATCGATGGGATTGCTTCCTCTAATAATGGCAATGTAATTGAACATTAAACACAATTACACACTATAAAGTCTTCCCCTTTCCTCATTTTCTCAAAAACACATAAAATAACACTTAATTTCAACATTTATTCTCTCTTAATTCAGCTATATGCAAAGCATGCTGGGAACTAACAAGCACCGCCCAGTTTAAGTTAATGCAACACAAATCATTCATGTAATCCAACACAAACGGATTAAGTAAACTTTAATTTTACATATTTAAGCAGATTGAACACAATCAAATTAAGTTTGGACAAAATGTAGCAATTGTGTTGCTTAAGCTCATTTAAAGCAATTTGAACAAGGAGCCAAAATATTTTTTTTTCATTGCAATATATTTAAAGCATTCCAGGGCAGACTTTCCGAAATACTCACAGAAATGAAAGACTTTGCCTTTAGATTAACTTTATATTTTCTCACCTTTCCACTTTCTTCACACGGCATCTTCATCCAATACGTTGGAAAGAGTCACATCCAGGGTTTTTTGAATCGCGAAATTAAACTCTTTACATTAGTTTAACGAATGATAATTAAGTATAGTTGAAAATTATAAAGATTAAGTTAATTAAATGCAATACAATAGTGTTTTGGTGGTAAAAGAAATATATGTGTGTTACTTTAACAAAACATATTTGGGTAAAAAGAACAGTGCCACAAAACCATTTTTTTTTTAGTGTACTGGCTTCCGCACGCGAGTCTAGTTCCGGCGGAAGAGTGAGCTCTGACCCGACGTATGACGCATTGACGAAGGCGGAAGCGCAGAGGAAAGAGCAAAACAAAACACCAGTACGAATTAGAAACGAGAACTAAAACGAGAATTTTTACAGAGAAATGTCGGAAGAGCTTGAGCTTGTGAGCTTGACCCTCACCTAAGATTACGCTACGCTTACATCCTACGTCATGCGTCGGGTCAAAGGTCACTCTTCCGCCAGAACTAGACTTGCGTACGGCCATTTACCGGAAGCCAATGATTATAGTTTATAAAGTTATAAACATGGATATTTTTCTTACAAAAACCCAGCCCTTTGCTTCAGAAGGCCTTTATTAACTCCCTATGGATTACTTTTATGATGGATGGATGCGCTTTTTTTGGGCTTCGAAAAACAAGGTACTATTCACTCCCATTATAAAGCTAGGAAGAGCCAGGATATTTTTAATACTAACTGTGTTTGGCTGAAAGAAGAAAGTCATATAAACCTGTGATGGCTTGAGGGTGAGTAAATTATATGATAATTTTCATTTTTGGGGTGAACTTAACCCTTTAACTGAAGTTAACCAGCCACACGCTCCATCTCTTGTATTCCAAGAGAAATCATGATCCATAACACATTAGACTTGATTTATATGTATTCCTGTTGTGCTTTGTGAATCATTCATGTGGTGAGAAAAGGGGATCATGGCTGGCAAAGCAGAAACTTCCTTTCTCTCGCTGTAGATAGAGCGATTGCTCCATCACTCACATGTAACGCTGTCTTTGTAGACACATTCCTGCTGTGCAAGAATCTGGTTGAGCTGCCAAACTATTTATAGACGTGCAGTCTAGAGATCATTCTCTCGACGTACCTACCTTGTGTAGGATGTGCGAAGATTTTTATATCTAGAAATGTTCTCATCCAAGTGTATCAGCCTCCAGAATTTGGCCGTGAGCCATGTTGTGCGGTTGGGAGTGAAGGCCTTCCCTTCTTTCTTCTGCAGACATCAGAATGCACTGCCCTGAAACCCCAGACCTTCAGCTCTGTTCCAGACCCCAGTGAGTTGTCTGGCTTTTCAAGGCATCATGGGATCCTGACATGAAGGCTGTTCCCAGCAGTTGCTGCCTTCCCCGAAATATTGGTCATATTCTACACAATACTGGATGACGTAATTTAAATAATTACACAAAATATTCATTTGACCTGAGTTTTAATGTTTTATTAACTCATTAAACGCAAAACTTCCACAAAGAAATCCCGTTCCTGGAAAGCGTATAGTGCTGCTGACTTCAGTAACCCGGATGAGCCTGTGTTATGTGTTTTCAGCGGTTGTTATTAAGGAATAACATACTGCTGGATGGCACGATTGACCAATCAGAATCAAGTATTCCACAGAGCCGTGTAACAACGGTAATTAATATGATTAGCCTTTTGGTTGACTACGTTATCAAACAGCTAATAATGTGTTGCTAATGTTACACAAAACCATGTTCCCGTTCGCCATCTTAGAGAGTATAGATGACTCAACTTAGAGAGCATAGTTAATGATATGCTAAAGCCCACCCAAATTTACGTGATTGGGTGCAACATGTTTGTGACGTAGAGAACGGGCGATTTCAAACCGTGTTTTAGAGACTCTCTTTTTTTCACTGCAGTTTTAAGCCCCGTTCACACTACACGCGACCAAGCGACGCGATACCATTCATTTCAATGGGGAGCTGGCGATTTCCGGCGACACGCGCGACAGCGACCGTTGGCGACCGGATGGGGCGTGTCTGGCGACGCGACAAAGTTGAGATCTGTTTAACTTTATGCAAATGAGGAGTGACTTTCGGGAGCGACAACCAATAGGAGCGGAGCGCGTATGATCCTTCTCCACATCATTGGATGTCATTCATAAAGGCAACCAGTAGTGGGAACTCCCACTAGCGACCTCATCGCAAGCCACTGGCGACATGCAGCGACAAAGTCGCTTGTAGTGTGAACGGGGCTTTAGGGAGAAAATGCTCAGCATATGCTTCTGAATTTGCACATGGTTTGTCTGAAAGCATATTAAAAACACCACATAGACATATATAAACAACATTAAAAACGTGATTTTCACCACAGGGGGGCTTTAATTTGATTTATCATTCAGTTCAGGTGTGTGTCGTTAATTATCCTTGTTTGCCAGTGTACTTAAGTTTCTCTGTTTCTGTCCATTGCTGTGAGGTCTCGTCTATGGTTTAGTTGTGTTGGATCGCTGTTTTCTGTTTGTGGATATACCTGTGGATTTATTAAGAATGCCCGTTTCCCTTTATCTACGTTTTCGTGTGGTTTACAACACAGCGTTGTGACTACTATTATTATTATTATTATATAAAAGTTAAGATGTTAGATAATGATTATTATTATTATTATTATTATCTAACATCTTAACTTTTATATAATAATAATAATTATTATTATTATTATTTCATCAAAATATCACAATTATTTAGTGGCAGTCTACAGACTTGTTAACTCACAACTGAATCTGACAATTATGATATCAGAATCAATTGTGATCTAATGTTTATACAATAACAACAGCAATTATAATAATAATAAATAATAATAATGATAATAGTAATAACAATAATTTATTATTGTCATTGTTATATTTGTTGTTGTGGTTTTTTTAGAATGCACATTAGCTTATTTTCCATTAACATGTTAAAATTTACAACAGCACATAAAAATGTGGTCTGAGTTTCACAGAAATGTAAATCGGCACAGTGTCAGTAGGTGGCGCTTATGGAACAGCCGAAATCCTCTCGCTTATTTCCGCCATTTTTTCCAAACAAAACGAAACCTACGTTGAATGCTGTCAATGTTCACCATGAGTTTTTCAAATGCTGGCAATCAAATACGGTTTTAATGATAATTATGTTAAACTGTAAAATTAAACGTCGAAAATTATACCGTGGTTTATCGTCAAGCCGGTAACCGTTTCATCCCTAACCCTCCATCAAGATTTAGGTTGGCGACCCCTCGTAAATCTTTAGCGACCCCCAGGTTGGGAAGCACTTCTGCACACGAGTGACGACTAAGAAAGGTCCTGCTTATGTAGGCCGTTTACAATCAGTCCATTGCAGTCGAGATTTGCCTTGAGGAGAGCAGCTGCTCATGTAGACGGCAGATAGCGAGTGTTTTGGAACATGACATGACTAGTGGGTATTGACTCCCATGTCTTTCTTAATTCACTAGCTACAGCCTGATGAATTCTGCATTTACCGACGGTGTTCCTTGTGTTTTTTCTCCTGAAGGCGGCTCTTAAGAAGTACCAGATGGAGCACAAAAGCAAAGGAGAGAGTCTGGAGAAATGCCAGGGTGAGCTGAAGAAACTGCGGAGGAAGAGCCAGGGCAGCAAAAACCCCTCCAAGTACGGCGAGAAGGAGTTGCAGGTGAGCCCCCACACCGCTGCGGGTCGCGTACAGAGCTAGCGTGCCGCTGTGGGCTCCGTCCCGGGCCTTTGAAAGGGACGGAGGTGTATGGATAGGCTCTGGTTCAGCAAGACCACCTACATCATGCTAATGCTGAGATGATTTTTTTACCAGCGTCTGAATGCAAGAAGTGCTGTGAGCCTCTTGAGGCAGTGAGAACACAATGGGTGGGCGAAAGCCGTAGGTGTGTATACAAACAGCGCTGCGGCGTATCAGCTAAGAGGTTGTGCCGAACACACACACACACGCAAACATCACGGCTGTTTTTTACTAACTTTCTTGCCTGTGTAAAGCATGCTAGTGGACCAGGCCCCAACCTACCGGATTAATTTCGGTGTGAATGCTAGCCTGCTGAGAGGAGTCTTACACTACGACAGCGGGGCTGTGGAGACCCGGCACAGATCAATAAGCCAAGTACATGTGCTCTGGGGAAGCTTACGCGCTCTGCCGGTGTGAAAGAACGGCCCTCCTGACCCCACTACTGAGTCATGATATATCCCTGATCAGCTCACACTTCCTCAAAATGTAGCTGTGCAGCTCTGCTTTTAGCTTTGCCGTTTTATTTTCAGTTTGTAGTAATAATAATAATTGTATTTAGATTGTTTGGATTATTATTATATGATAACAACAACAATAATAATAATAATTATTATTATTATTGTTAATAATTATAATAAGAAATTATTATTATTATTATTGTGCTTAGATTAATATTATATTATTATTATATGATAAAAATTATAATAATAATATTATTATTATTAGCAGTAGTAGTATATTTATCATTGTCTAGATTATGATAACATCAATAATTATAGCTATTATTATTATTATTATTATTGTTTAGATTATAATTATATGGTAATAATACAACAAATTATTATTTTATTATTATTATTATTATTATTATGGTAACAATAATAATAATATTATTATATGATAATAATTATTATTATTATTATTATTATAACACTTATTATTATTATTATTATTATTATTATTATTGTTATCATATCATAATATAAACATAATAATAATAAGTATTATTATTCTTTTTTTATTATTATTTTTATATCACAACTAAAGTTTTAATTTTCAGTTTGTTTCCTATTTCTATTTAGTTTTTGCAGTAGCATTTTCCCCCATTTATTTTTCCCATACGGATTAAAAAAAATGTATAGAGCTCAAACCAACCAGCCAGGAAGTGAATCCCATTACAAACTTTGATTTGAATCGAGAAAAAATAGATAAATAATCAAATTAAAAAAAGATGGATTAATATATAACATATGTAGAAACAATGTATTTTATGTTTATTGCAAAATATGGGAAGGAAAACTTATTTGACTTTTTAACATTGATAATTAAATGTTTCTTGAGCATATCAATCTTAATTGTCAATCAATCATCAAATCAGCATATTAGAATGATTTCTGAAGGATCATGTGACCAGTGTTGCCAAGTCCATGGTTTTCCTGTGAAATTGCGCTACTTTTAAATTGTTGCCGTGGCTTTGTGTCAGTTTTCTGCTATTTTTCATTGACCATCGGGCTCCTTTTGTTGCGCAGACCTGGCAACCCTGCATGTGACACTGAAGACTTCAGCTTTACCATCACAGTAATAAATAACATTTTAAGATAGTCAAATAGAGAAGTTATTTTAAATTGTAATAATATTTCACTATATTACTGTATTTTTTACTTTATTTTTTTATCAAATAAATGCAGCCTTGGTGAGCATTAAAAAACCTTACCGACCCCAAACTTTAAAACAGAAGTGTAGAATTCGACTTATGTAGAGTCACAGCTATTTTACCTTATTTACTTTACTTTAAAATAAAGTAAATCCAATCAGTCTCATCCAATCAGATCTGTGGCATAATAAAGCAATTATTGTCATGTTTAAGAACACCTTTTACCCTTGGTAAAATCACTGTTACACACTACGGCTCATTGCTTTAATAAAATGACAGCAGTCACAGATGTTCAGTTAGTAGTTTGATGTATTAAGATTAACAGTTTGCGCAGAGTTTCGGCCCTCACAGTTGCCAAGCAACAGAGTCACATGCCACATTAATATATAATGTTTGGTCACAAGTGTGTCTCTGCATTTAACAACGACAATGAACACTGCTAATCAGATCACAAGTTGTATAATTACGCATTTAGATGATATATAATGAGTTATTTATCTTTCTGAGCTTCTAAAAGATCGATTCTGAAAACCTGCTTCAGTCCAAAGAACAGACCTGCTCTCATTTTGTACCTCAGACTCATTTTTTTCATGTAAATGTGGCCTTGAGCGAGAGCAGGAAAAGTCAACTGATTTAGTCGAGAGCCCCAGGGGCGCATAAAGCAAAGTCTGAGTGCGCACACACACACAAATGCAGATACTTCATCCATATTACGGTAAATCACGGCACTATCGCTTAGAGAGTGATGGCGGTTTGGAGGTTCACGGATTGTGATTCATTGGAAAAGCTCCATGAACAGGCATGACTTGACTGCTCTGTCTGAGCGTGTTCAAACAACTGTTTATGCACTCGGTTTTTCTCGCTCTCGACTCTGTTGTACCTCCATCCTCTCTTCGTTTTTTCCTCGTCCTGTTGCTGCTGAAATAATTAGTCGCTGAAGTCCCTCTGAAGATGCTAATTAGCTAATTATTCAGTTCGGTAGAGTGGTCTGAGTTACAGCGGGAGGGATATGAGATTCGGCGGAGGTCTACGCCGCTCGCTGTAACATCACACGTTAACAGACGTGTCATGCTTCTGAATGGTGTGGACTCCTCGGCGAGTTCAGGGAAAGCAATTAGCGTATCTACTTGCACGCGCGGTTAGCGCACATGACTCTGTGAGAGTCATCTTGGGAGAGCCAGGGATTGTTGCTTTGCTAGGCTGGAGAGGAAGCTGCTGTGCCACTGGATGAAGGACTGCTGATGTCAGAGGAACGAGTGGAGCTGCGGCTATATCAGGCTGACGCAGCGGGACACCCAGCAGGAAGCGTTTAAGTTAGAGAGGGCTTTGTAGGCTACTGTACAGCACGCGAGTGTTGCTTTAGACATACAGTAGAGGGATTCCAACCTCCCATCCAGCACACAGCCAGGGTCCAAAAAAGACTTTTCTAAAGCTGCAAATGCCGGGCAATTTATGAAAATGACTTAATCCTATAATGAGGAATTATTTAGCTGAATATTTGCAGCAAACAGCACATTGTCCCCTAATACTGATATGTACCTCTGGTACTACTTCTCAGTTTAATGTTGTACATCTTTTTTTAGAGTTTTAAATTTCTACATTTAAATCATTTTAAGATGCACACTGTTAGGTCCCACCAGGTAGTTCACCGAGGCCCCCTAGTGGGCCCCAGCTTCTACTGTTTTTAAGGCTTTGATATATATCTGGGAAATTCGAAGAACAAACTGGTGTGACGTCATTTTTTTTTTTTTAATCTGAGCAAAACAAAGTTCGTTTCGGGCGTTTAAAACAGGCTGGTAAATACCTTCGAACTACCATTGGTCTGTGGTGATGATGTAATAGGTGGGTGTGGCTCTGAGGCTCCGCCTTCTTGAACATGGATAAATTCTCCGGTTCATTTCTTCTGTTCAGTCCGTCGAGGTCAGACATCCGTGAGTAAAAACATGAACACACTGAAGAGCCACAATCAGGGCCATCCTTAGGGCGGTGCAACCAGTGCCACAAGGAGGGTGAACCCCCTGCCCCAGGAACACAATCGCGAACAGACTCCAAACCCTCTGTCCCTATGGCTCCACCTTGCTCAGTCGTCCCTCTGGTTCCGCCTCGGACTTCCGAGTCATCAGCTGCGCCTCGACCCTCCACCCCTTGGGCTCCGTTTTCATTGTCATCATTTGCCTGAGTTCCAAAACAATCTATCAGTTTTTCAGCAAAACTGATCATTTAAAGGCCTTGGAATTTTGCATATCAAATATGATACAGTATGATTTATTGGGTTAAAAAATCAAATTGTCTTTTTGATATGCATTACCTGTTTGTTACTCAAGATAACATGCATTCCAGCTGGACCAGAAAATACTGTTTGTGTTTGTTTGTTTTTTAGTGTGATTTGAGCAAAATAAGCTAAATTTATGATGCATAATTTGCTGATTTGAAGTATATTATTGACAATAAATAAAATAAAAAACTCACACATCCCAGAACTTAGAAGGTGTATAAGGTAATGTCATAATGTCACAGTATATTTTATGCCACGTTGTGCACGCGGTGTTGGGTTTTTTTCTTTGGAAATGTCATCTTGGCAAACACTTTTGGAGGTTTCATTCTTTTCCTGTTCAATTAGATACTGCAGTTTCTTGGATAAAATACCACGTTTTCAAAAACAATAACTGTAACTATGGTGGGAGGAAACTATGCCCTTTCAAAAACATTCTGTAAAAATACCATGGTACTTTGATACACATCATGACACTGAATAATTAATCTTTTAACATGAAAGTACTGCTTTAGTGTGGTTTTGTAAAGGTATTCATTTTAGATGAGCAGTTCGTTGAAATAGCTGTTGCTTTGTGGAGAGGAATTTGTGATATTGTTGACACTAACACGAGCAGAACAATAACTGTATCTGGAATTTCCCTGCGGTACACGTGTCTTCGGGTTTCACTTGTTAGTGTAATGTTCCTTGTGTCATAATAAAGGTTGAGCTGGACTGGTTCGGCATGTCCCAGAGTAAAACATGGCTGTTTTTAGTGAGTTTTTCTTGTTCTCCGAATTAAAGTAACATGTTGTTGGAACTGCAGCCTCCCTTTGGCAAGAGAGATGAGGTTGCTTCAAATTTGGTTCTGATTGGGGTCGGGAAGATATTTAAAAAATGTTTTTGGAAAAACAGCTTGGTATATTTTTGTTTCTGGACGCTGAGAAATGTTCAACTTTGAGTAAAACAGTAGCCTGACTTCGTCATACACATATTCTAGTCAGAATGTGAGTCTGA